AATTTATTTAAAAAATTGCATAAGTAACTGAATTAAATAAATATGAATTATAATAAAATTTAAATAATATATTTTTTTCATGATTAAAAATAAGCAAAAAGATTTAAAGTTTTATAAATAAATATTATTGTAATTGAATAAATTGAATGTTTAACTAAAAAAATAATAATAAAAAAAATAAATTCTCATCTCTTAAAATCAAGATCCTCTTTCTTGCACTTTAGTTGCTTAAGTTTTTTTTGTATTATTTTCTAAGATAATCATTAATGAAAACAAAAAATTACAAAAGCACTTAAAGTTAAAATACTTGGTGATACCAAAATTGATCAAACCCTATTCAAATTAAGTGCAGATCAAGTCGGTAAACCACTTTTGAAAGTTTTCAGTACATAATTGCATGGTTAATGTACTCAAAAACATACATGCTTATAATTAAATAAAGTGTATCGACATGACAAATACAATGAGTTCAAGATCATTTAATTCTAACATCATTAAAACATTTAAGAGTTCATGAACACTATCCAATCAAGGGAACCTCCCCAAGTCGTCTGATCCGAGTGGTCTGGATTCCTTTTTTATTTGCAACCTAAGCTTTATAAATAAAGATTTGCCTCTCTTTTGAAGGGGGATATAGATCTTTATCCAAAAGAAGAGGGAAGCTTGGAGAAGGAGCTCAAATCCAGCATCGCTTCTACATAGAAGATCCGACAAACACCTCTCGCTCTTGCAATCGCTGATCACAATCAACCACCGCTCCCTGACCACCAACACCACCATCGGTCGCCAACTACTCCATGTTGAGTCACAACCCGTGTTATGGAATCCCAACGTGCATTGCGGACAACAAAGCACTAGATAGAGCAGCGCATTACTCAGTATGATGTGCAATAACACATCTCAAAGATAATGTATTGGTTCCAGTAACTGTTCCTAACTATAGCCACTTTTGACCATTGTACAACAAACATTGTATCTTAAAGAAATGTGTAGTCCTTTCCCACATATATGATAGGAGCCTATATGTGTTATCACTAATTCATAGTTGATTGTTCTTACTAAGTCATACCCCGTGGTTTTTTTCCTTTTCGGGGATTTCACATAAAAATTTATGATGTTTCTACTGGTTGTTTTCTTTTATCTGAATGTGCATTAGATTCTCGTATAATGCTAAAATGATAATTCATTACTCAACTGTCGTGATCTCTCTAGGACTCATCAGTTTGGCACCATCTATGAAATAAAACGATCCAATCACTAAAGTACTTGTGAGATTTGTTGAATTAACAACAGACACAATATTCCCAATAACTGAGTGCCCTACTCAAACACCCAACATTCTAGGGGACAGTCATAGGGCCATGGCAATAGACCTCTTCATCTTCCCACTCTGGAAGGCATTACCCTGCTGACGAAAGTTCCAAGGATCCCTCTATACAGTATCAAGTTTGCAGGATGGAGGAGTCCCAACATAAGAGCCTCCGGCTTCTATGTGAGATTCAACAATCGATGCCCAAGAAGTGGAATAAAGCTTATTTACCATTAGTTCAACAACCAACAAAAAAATGCCCCTCACAAACATAGTAGTCCCTAGGCCCTTCCTCGCAATGAAACCCTTCCTTTACCAGACCGGTACATTGACTTTCTCGATACTGTAAGTTCCATTCATCTGTCTCATAAAACTTGCTTGGCATTGCCCCTCGTTGCTGCCACTCCTGATAATTTTTTTCGTGATAAGCTACAATATTAGGCCTAGGAAGAGGTCTCTCAAGAGGATAAGGATTACTTTCTCGCTTGCCACAACTTCTAAGAACCCTCTCCCTTAGCCAAGACAGTCCTCCAGCACCCCATCTCAGTGGGTTTTAAGCTCTCTAACATCGACTCCTATGAGGGGACAACTGACATCTATAAACACGTTGACCATTATCGAAGCATCATGCACATTTGGTGTTTCTCTTATGCTATAAATATACAACAACCTACATATTAATGCAATCTTCAAGATGCTCATATTTTTTTCATTATAATTTAATATTTTATATCGACAATATTTTGCACATTAATAAAAAATAATAAGAGGAAGATAGAAAAATACCCATGTTGATTAAAAAGTTTAGTCATGGCCTTTGGGATCAATCAAGAAGAAAGCCAGATCCATACATACCCTGGTCGAGGTCATCTTGTGATGATATAAGCATTGTTAATAACTTGATATTATGCTAAAGATGGATAAGTGGTATGAAATTATAACAAAAAATGATTGAGTAAATATTTTCAAAATGTGATAAAAATTATACTACATTTGTTCAAATTTTGATGGATACTAAAAAATTGAATAAGTACCTGAAATTAAATAATAATAATAATAATTAAATAATATGTTTTTTCCATAACTTAAATTAGCAAATATACATAAAGTTGTATAAATAATTAATTAAATATTATTGTAATTTAAAATTTAATAAAATAGATACACGTGAATAAATTGAATATTTAATAATTAAAATAATAAACACTCATCACTTAAAATCAAGATCTTCTATCATGCCCTTTTAGGGTCAATTTGGGGCAACTGCAGCTATTTGAAGAAACAATTTTTCAAAAAACTGCGGTAGCTAATACAAATTTATTTTATTTTAAAAAATTCAGACCACGACTTACATCTACCACACTTTAACAACTATGGTTTAAAAAGCAAATTTCTACCATAAATTAAAAAAAAAACAAGAAAGCAGTTCTTTATATAAAATTATGGTGACAGTCTGAAAAACAAAGTAGGCAGAAAACTGTTCCAAACAAACCCTTAGTCAGCTCAAGCTTTTCTTTTTTTTAAGGTAATCAATAATGAAAAGGAAATTTACAAAAGTACTTAAAGAGTTAAGAAATTCTAAGGAATGAGAGATTATATTCTCCTTATGATGCAAAATCTAAAATAGAGGGTGACAACTATATACTAAAATGACTATGTATCTGAGTCCATTGAATAGCCATTGTAGTGAATAAGCAAGCAATCTTCTTAATTCCTAGGAGAATTTGCCAATGTGATGTTTCTTTTTGAGAGCAACATTTTCATAATATCAATGAATTTGTCTTAAAGAGGAGTTGAGTCCAACCCATGATTCTAGCAATTTTGAGAGCAGCCAAGCCAACTTTGGTCTCTACATGTAAGGGTGAGGTAACCACCACTAAAGAGGAGAAGAAAGTTAGTACACCACCTTGAGAATTTCTGAAGAAAAAATTCTAATAATATTTTGAAAAGAAAAAAGAAAATATAAGACAACTACATAAGTCACAATTATCTTTTCTTTTGCTACTGGACTTGGCAAAGTGTTCCAATGAGTTATGAGAAAGAAAATAAATCAGTTGTCTTGGCAAAATGTTCCAATGAGTTATGAATAAGAAAATAAATCAGGTGTCTAGTACTATTAAACTTAAGGAGATTTAAAAACTAAATTAAAGGATTATAAATGCAAAATTAATCATCATATATGTATGTTCTATGAGCATGGGTTCATATCATAACAATAACAAGAACACACGTGCCTATAACATTGTAACGAATGTCAAAATTAGCTAATATTACCTTGGCAACAAGAAGAATAATGTAATTACTGTAGGAGGTTTAAAAACTAAATTAAAGGATTATAAATGCAAAATTAATCATCATATTTGTATGTTCTATGGGCATGGGTTCATATCATAGCAATAAGAAAGAACACATGTGCCTATAAGATTGTAACGAATGTCAAAATTAACTAATATTACCTTGGAAACAAGAAGAATAATGTAATAAGTGTAGCGTCAAATATTAAGTGTGGTATTTGCATGTGTGAATTGGTGGTATTCGTAGGAGAAGAGCGAAGCAAGTAAGAACCAAGAGAAGGGCAAAGCTGGAGAAGAGCGAATGGTATACCAAAAGCTAGGGCTATGAAGGATGAAGCATGGAGGCAGGAGAACTAACAATGATGATACGAAGACGACGAGTGAAGTTGAGAGTTACAGGGTTGTATATTTGAACAACAGAGAAATTTTGGGAGATATACTTGTATTATTAATGTTGGGATCCAATCAAATGTTATTTGAAGTTCCTGTTCAATAATAGAGATTGGCATTGACTTGTACCTAGATTTTCCTACTTAACCTAGTCATCTTATTAAGTTTGAAAGGTACAAACAACCGATCCTCTAGAAAAACGTGGTCTGTTATGAGCTGGTCCTGCCAATTTCGATCTTATCTTATCAAGACAGATTTGACTGTAGTTGTAAGTTTACGTTAAGTAGGATTTATCAAATCCGAGAAATCAACAAAAGCTCCTGACCGATGCGACGGAGATGGAGCACGCGGGCAACAACGAAAGAAATCTGTAAAATCCACCTCACATTATAATTTTTAGAATCCGGATTTACATCGCAAAGGAGACGGAATGGGCGAGAAAGATGCAGAACAGAAGAGTTGGATCTCAAAGCTTTCACTTTAGACAACCAATTGAACTATATTGTTTTGTGAACTCAGACCTCTTGTTAGGAAGAGTTTTTTTTTATGGAAAAGAATGAGACATTGATTCCATATTATATGAAGTATAAATTTCAGCATCTTAGTAAAATAAGACAAATACATGAACAATGCCCTAAGAACTCACAAAAAAAACCAATGAAAAACCCCCATACCTCTTTAAAAGGAAGTGTTTTTTCTTCATTCAACTCTTTTTTTCTCCTTTGACTTCTATAAAAGGAAAAAGACAAAAACGAGTTCAAACTTGACTTCTCGCCAAATCGTTCCTTACGTGGATCCTATCTCCATCCACCATGCCAAGCCCTATACCCTTATCCCTATCTTTGCCACCCAACAAATTTCTTAATCCCCTGCCTCAAATTTATGATTTTCTTTCGAATGGTTGTTCATGCTGTGTCTACCCTAATAACATGTCACACGCAATAATTGTTCTTAAAGCTAGAGGCTCTTGTTTTGTTTCAAGAGGGGTCTTTGTTTTCTTGATGCTATGATATAGATCAGCAACTGGTGTAGTTAAGCCCCCCAAAAAAAGAGACCATTTCACAAATCATAAAAGCAAAACTTTTATAGAAATTCTTTTGAGAAAATCCTTATTTTCTTTTAGAAATCGCAGCTGTCTGCAAATAATTTTAAAATATGACATTTAAAATGTTAAACAAATTTTTGAAAGGTGAACCTCCGCCCAACAGAGCCTGATTTCCTTAATTAAAAATTCAATCTTGATGCTCTGACGTAGATGAACCAGTCCCGTTCTTGTTTTCTTCGACGAAATGCTGCCCTGAGATCGAAGAAATTCAACCTCGATTGCTCGGAGGGCGAACTTATTCTTCATCCTTTCCTTGTCGTTTTCGAGGAACCAGATTTATATACTTCTTCCTAATTATGTGCATATGTCTTTGCTTGTTTGGGTTACTCTGTTTTTGGCATATCAGTTGTTCCCCGATGAAGCAAAGGGTTATTTAATATGTTAATCCTCTTGTCTCTATAGTTTTTTTGGGTTTGATGGAAATAAAAACATCTGGGCATCTGATCTTGATGCAAAAGTTCTTCTTTTTCGGCTTACTTGACAACTAAAGCCCATTTATTGGGAAGTTTTCATGTTTGTATTGCAGTTGTGGGAAGTTCTTTCCTTATTTCATTATTTTTGCCTTTTTTATTTTATTTTTTGCAGGTTTCGTTTCTTTTTGTGTTTGGGGCTTTTTGATTTAGGTTTTTAGCAACTACTCGTTGCTTTTAGATGGAAGAGATCTGTTTCTCTTACTTTACTGAAGAAGAAACTGAAATCTTTGAGCTTTTGGTGTTGGTTTGCAAAGTTTGTTCTTGATGTATGTTTGCTGGATTACTTTTTGTTGATCTGGCTGGTTAAAGTTTCTGCAAGATGGGTCCTTCTTTAGAAACAGTTAATGGGGTTGTGGAAGAGATCATGAGAATTCACAGGTCTCTTCCAGCGAGACCCAGTGTAGATGAGGTAGAAGCTGCAACAGTCTTGATTGATAATGTAGAGAGGGAGGAGCAAATCCATGTCGACGCCATCTCTAAGCAGAAGAAGGCCTCTGATATCCCTGATGAGCTCTTCTTCATTCTCCGAGAGATGCAGAAAAATTCAGTATCGTTTCAGTGCAAAGAGCAGAAGAGGGAAGCTTTTCAATTACTTGACCTTTATAATATTCATATCCTGTTTGATGAAATGATTCAAACGGCTTCCGCATGTCTTCCTTTGGCAAGCAATGGCTCTGTTTCTTCGATCTCAATGCCTTCAAGTTCTATGAGTTCAATCAGGAGTAGTACTTCTGATTCGAAAGGTAGTTTCAGCTCTTTCATTCCTTTTAATGGTTCTGATAAAGAGCTTGCAAGGACTTCTGAACGGATTACCAGGGATGACAGTTACGTTAAGAAAGCAAAGTCTGCTGTGAATGAGGATGGGTATGGTGGTGACTTAAATCTCCACCGAGGGTTGTTGAACTCTGTCCCAACTAGCCGGTCTGCATCGATCTCCGGTGAGTTTGTTGTTCCATGTATTACACTGTATTTTGTCTGTTCTTAAATTCATGAATGTTACTATAAGAAAATTTTAACAATATATCATTTCATACATGTTTATTGGCTGTAATTTTGTGGATCAATTTCTTCTATGTGACATTTACAGAAGAAGATACCGGAAAGTTGAGCCTCATTAAGTTAGCTAGCTTGATTGAAACCTTTGCGAAGAATGGCACCCGGAACCTTAACCTTAAGAACAAGCTGATGGATCAAGTTGTCTGGATTCCTGATTCGATAGGTAAGTTATTTGGCCTGGAGACCCTTGATCTATCAGAAAATCGGCTGGTTGCGTTTCCTACCACAGTAAGTGGACTTACTTCTTTAACAAAATTAGATCTCCATTCCAATAAGATTGCTGAACTTCCGGACAGCATAGGGGATCTCATCAGTCTCCTTTATCTTAATCTCTTTGGGAACCAACTGACATCATTGCCAACTACCATTGGCAAATTACAACGCCTTCAAGAACTTGATTTGAGTTCAAATCGGCTTTTGAATCTGCCAGATGCAATTGGAGATCTTGTAAACTTGAAGAAATTGAATGTTGAGACAAATAATCTGGAAGAATTTCCTTATACCATCGGCAACTGTATTTCTCTAGAGGAGCTTCGAGCTGATTATAATCGTATAAAGGCTCTTCCAGAAGCAATTGGAAAACTTGAGTCCTTGCAGGTTCTAACGGTTCGTTATAACAATATAAGCAGACTTCCAACCACAATGGCTTCTCTGACAAAATTGATGGAGGTTGATGCCAGTTTTAATGAGCTTGAATCCATCCCAGAGAGCTTATGTCTTGTCACTTCGCTAACCAAGCTGAATATAGGAAATAATTTTGCCAATCTTTTATCTCTGCCTCGTTCCATTGGTAATCTTGAGATGCTTGAAGAGTTGGATGTCAGCAATAATCAGATTAGGGTCCTCCCAGACTCTTTTGGAAATCTGTCTCAGCTTCGTCTGCTTCATGCTGAGGAGAATCCATTAGAGGTACCTCCACGGCAAATAGCTGAGAAGGGAGCACAGGTCTCAATCCATTTCTCTACAACTTTCTTATTTCATTCTGTTTTTCTTTTTTATCTTGATAAGTAATGAAGTTTCTTTTCAGGCTGCTGTCAAATACATGGCTGAACTTGTTACAGAGAGGTGTGAAACATCACAAGAAACTAAAACTAAAAACATCTGGACAGATTGTTGCTTTTTCTCATCACCTGCTAAGATAAAGAGTGATGGTGGTGACTACACAACTCGATATTCTGTAGCATAGGTGTGAACTTTAGGATTTGTGTACATTGTCATTTATAAATAACAATGTGTTAGATAAAGTGCCATTCATGCATCATTTAATTTCTAAGTTCTATTGTTTATCATATTGCAGGAACTGTGTTCACCCTTCATTAAGTTTATTGAGAGATGGAGATGCAACATTTACTTTCTTGGCAGCTTCATAAATAATTACCCAGGAATGTGTTTTTCATTTTTTCTTTGGCACTTCTATATCAATCTACATTTAATACAAAATAGCTTCTGCAACAAGGCAAAAGAGGGCATCTGTATTCCATACTTCTCATTTTTCATAATGTCTTCTAGTTCAATTTCTGTTGTTGAGTTGTGCAAATAAATAAATTTATATTTTCTTTTTTGATTCTAAGCACATATTGCTTTTTAGTTTTATTGGATTGTCAAGAACCCTAGAATTCTTGAGGACCTTTGTGAGATTATCAACAATAAGTGAGAGTAGCTGTATTTTTCGGATTTGGAGCTTTAAGAGTCGGTACGAACGGTTGGGTATGATGGCAATAGAGCTCATGACGGAGTTTAAAGTTTTTTATAAGTTATTGCCAGAGGAGAAGTATTATTAGAAGAATTGATAATCTATGTAACACATTATCAGAAGGATGTTTTATTGCCATCGCTAGAAGAAGAGAATTAAAGATAGAATGAATATCTCTTAGTATCTGTGTGTAATAATGACATTATTTATAATGTTGTAACGTTTTAACTAATGAACCAAGTTACTTATCCATAAAGGTGGCCTTCACAATATAAAGGGAGGGATCCTCTGATATTATAGATTACTTATTTTCTAAAGATGTTTCTTCTCTGTTCTTGCACTGTAATTCTTTTCTAGCTCTTTTCTTGTTTCCATGGATGAATTGGGATCCAATAAAATGCACCTTCAAACTTCTATTCCAACATGCAAAATGAGCAATTTGATTGCATTAAATTCAAGTTAATGCTATTTGATAACATTTAATTAGCATAAAAGTTATTTGGAAAACTTTAAGCGTGCTGCATAGGGAGTGGTGGTCTTCACAAAACATGAAGCTTTCAAGGAAAACATCATAAATCATTGTTTGTTGTAATTATTAATAATTAATTGTATGGGTATTATATGATAAGTGAATATGATGAAGACATAAATGTAACAAAAAAAACTTAAAAATAATCCTATCAGCTATCCTCTATATTTAGCTTTCTGGGTTGCTTAAATTCTAATCTTAGAAATAATTTCTTTGTATTGTTGGTTTAAGGTTGTGCACATCTATCTTTTGCAATCCTATGATGGTTAGAGCTTAATGCACTGAATATGTTAATATTTTTAAAGATAGATTACAGTTTTTGATGATGAGGATATCATTGATAAACAAGTGAAGATACAAGTAAGAATATTAAAATAGGTGTTTGAAAAAAATTGAAGGGATAAATTGAGAAATAATTATATTGAGATTAATGAAAGTAAATCACTGAGGATATAAGGAAGTGGAAACTAATCTTGATGATTTAAGCATGCACAATAATGGATAAAAGATGCACTAGTAAATTATTAAGAAAAATAAGGTTAACATGTCATGTGTTATTGAAGAGTTATGAATGGAGAATGAGGATTTATAAATTCGGCACTATGTAGAGTTTAAATAAGACTATTGATAGTGATAAATGGATAGGAAAAGTGTTAGATTTAAGATAACAAGGATAAACATTATTCAAATAAAATCATGTAAATTGTATGTAATAGTTGGTGCACATGATAAGAAATCAAAATATAGAAGATTCATACTGGTTAGGAACTGATTATCATTATGATAATGTGATGAATGTCAATAACTTCTTGCAAAATAATACAATGTTGCATGTGATTATGTATGATGTTTTAGTGAAAAATAATAGGCTTTTAATTTTTAGGAGAGAAAATAATTGGTTTGATGCCATTATGAATCATTCCTATCAATATAGGTGCATAAAATGTTTATGTTAAAATTTGAGATACATTTTTGTTTGTTGCATTTCATTACTAACCCATAATTACAAGGGATTGTTTTGTTGGATGTTTCTAAAATACATGTATTAAGAAATACTGAGTAATTGAAATGTATGTACTCTAAAAATGCAATAGTTATTTGGTTAGATGCAAATCCCTTGAAGATTATGATTATTTCAATTAATCAGCTCTTACACATGGCTCTCAATATTGAGTAACTGAACTTATCGTATAACATTTGCAACTGACAAGTGGTTTTCTTCATAAGAACTCATCAAAGATCAATCTTTAATCCAAAATACACTCCAATTCCTGACTAGCAGTCAACTATGAGCTAAACTAAACAAAGTATTTTCTATACAATCACATTGTAATGAATTTTATACTGCCAATCATATTTACTTGTCCAGCATAGGCAAGTAAATTTTGACTTGTGAAGGATATTATACAGTATTTTTGTTGAAATTTTGTCCCACTTAAGACTCAGAATCTATGTAACTCTCCCATTATAACTCTTTCTAAGGTGGTGTTTCGTAGCATACTACAAATAGGATTTAGCGGTGGGTTTAAATTAAACCCAGCCAAACACCAAAAAGATAATTAAATTCAAAGCTTTGTTAAATTGAATTTTCTCATGTTCCGTCTTTTTTTCTCATGTTTTGTCTCTTTTACAACGTAAATCCTGATTAAATAAATCTGATTGAAAGACGGTTTTATTCTGTCGTCAGCCGCGAGCTTCACCCCGGCACGTAAAAAATAAAAATTAAATCCAGCGCTTTGTTAAATCGAATTTTCTCGTGTTCTGTTTTTTTTTTCTCACGTTCCGTCTCTTTTACAACGTAAATTCTGATTTACTAAATCTGATTGAGAGACAGTCTTATTCCGTTGTCGCTTGCGAGCTTCTCCACCGCACGTAAAATCTAAGTTGCAGCCAAACACCGCCAAAATTATCTCCATAACTTGATTTGACTTTTCATTCTCTGACAAAGTGGTTATAAGCCAATTCACAGTGGCCAGATCCATATCTTTAGCTGGATCTTGGCAGTTTTCCACAACTAATACTAGTTCTAACAATGATGAAATTGGAAAGTTGAGGTTTGAAGATTGATACCTGTTTTCAGATTGTCTTAAAATGTTGGCAACTTGTTTTGTCCTATCCATTACTGTTTAGATGGTTAATTGAGTTTGGCCTCAACATCATTTGAATCCTTCTTGCTTGTCCTTGCTGTCTACTTTTGCTGTTTGTTTGCCAGAGAACTCCAAATGGCATCTGGTTTATCTTATCTGATGCAGCTTTGCTTATTAGTTGTTTAGTTGTTGAAAATATTCTTTGCAGGATTCTTGAAATTTTCTTTACATGAAGTGCTCATTTATGTACAAATGTATAATGCTAAGAAGAGAGTCTGTGATTGTGCTTTACATACATAGCACTCAAAACATTGCTATTTACAAATCTAGCGCCCTCTTTCATCAATTTTTCAAATTCTTGATCAAAGATCAAATTCGAGATAAAACCCCAACCCATATGTTTCATTTTTATTAAATTCTCAATGTTTTGATCGTTGCACGTAGGGCTGTCAAAAAAGCTCGTTGTTCGCCAACAGCTCGTGTTCGGCTCGTTAAGTAACTCGTGTTCGGCTCGTTTTAAAGTAATGAACGAGTTGAACACGAATAAATTTTTAAAACTCGAATTATAAACGAGCCGAACACAAATCACTATTTGTTTGGCTCGTTTTAGCGAAATAAAAAAATTATATAACTATTTATATAACAATATATTACGTATATTATATATATTTATGTATAAGTTTGAATCATAACACCTCATGTGACAATGTGGTTAGTGCATTCTTTTGTATATATTTGATCCAAGTTCGAATCCCACATTTTACAATTATTTTTCTCAATTTAAGTTTAACGAGCCAATTTCGAGCCGAACACGAACACAAATTTTTAAATCGAGCTGAACATGACCACACCCCACACCGTCCACGAGCCGATTTCGAACACGAGCTATTTTAAACGAGCCAACATGAGCCAAGCCTGAGCTCGCTCAAGCTCGGCTCGTTTACAGCCCTAGTTGCAAGCTTAAATATATCGGTTCGGTAGTTCAAAAATTTCACACGGGTGATAGATTTTGTACGTAATAAGATTTCGGATGCTATGTATGTAATTACCCCTTTTTAAATTGATTTTTAAAATTGATTATTGAGAACATGGCAACCTAACACTACACAAGAATTCTTTATACTTAATGCAACATTGGAAGTAGGTTTTAGGGGGCCATATAGTGGGTTGAAAAGTTGCTATTGGAAAATAATTATGTTTGAGTATAAATGAACTAGCTTAAATTTTAATCCATCCATCAATATAAGTGATTCTTGTATTAAAGATTTATATCTTGATTGATGCATCTAGTTTAAAATCAACTCGTATTATTTTACTAAGAAAGTATAAATTTAAGAAAATCAGCATTTTTTTCCATTTCATTTTAATATTAATTGATGAAAATTGTTAAAATTTTAGTTAGCTTAACACTAAAACACACACACACACTCTATCTTGATTTGACACTAAGGGTAATCTATCTAAGATGCCTTGAATCCATTTTGTAATTAGGCTTGTACATCAGAAAACATCAACACGAATTTGAGAAGGTTCAATGGACTAGAGACAAAGAAGTACGACTAAGGAAGGCCCCAGTAGCGGAAGACTAAAGGCTCAACGGGTGGAAAGCTAAAGGGCTCACTAGCGGAGACCAAATGACCAACTAGACTAGGTGCAAGCCCCTTGAGCCGAGGCTAGAGGCCGGTCTAATGAAGGCCATCTGAACCAAGAATCAATGCCAGTTTAGCCGAGCAGAGGTGTTAACCTACTTCTTTCCACAAGTCAACTCAAGGAAAGAGCTAAGCAACGCCAACCATCTTATGAGCGCTCTTGAGATTTCTCACTAAGGGTCGAGTGCTGACCATAACATGATCATACGGAGCATCCCAAAGAATCAACCTGTCAAGAAGTGAGCTACCTATTAGATTACGGGGGTCTACCGTCTACCCATTAACTTAGTTTTTTCTGTCGACAGGAGTTCCTTGTGCAGGGATTAATAATCGACAATTAGACTAGAATAACCGACCGACAAAGCCAAGCTGATCAAGGCAAAGTCTTGCCGACTCGAAGACCATCAAAGGTCGACTAACAACCCCGATTCAAAATAGTCAGACAAACAGGTTTGCTGAGTCAGGACCAACTTATTTTAGCAAACCAAGTCATATGATATTCGAGTTGAAGACCTATAAATGTAAAATACCTAAAATATC